CTCTTCATAGTCAAATTTTGAAAACATGGCAAATAAAAATATTGTAGCAAAAGACTGGTCTAGAATCATGTCTTTATGTGAGACATCATGAATCATGTACCATTTCCTTTGGGTACAGGATCGATTGCATGTGCTATAATATTTGTCATTTCTAAATTTTTCCAAATGCCCAGAGGCATTAAGAAGGGAAAAGGTCTAGAATTGGATATGACTAAAATGATTAAGCAATTGTCGAGGACAATCTGAGGTTTACCAAAGATTGGTTGCTCAGGGACAGTTGGAAGTATAGTGCTAATTTTGGAAGGACCGTATTGACATATGGACTCTTATATATATGGACTCTTATATATATGGAATGGGCCAAGTTCATTTAGGTTGGGCTAAGTTTTCATGGATGGTCCATGGAGCTTTTAACCCATGGATCCTATGTAAATGAAAGGTCATGGGTATTAGGGTTTACATGGATGTAACCATAATCCTCCATAATATATAAAGGGGTCCTTGGCTCACAAAAGTGGAACAAGTGTGTGAAAATAAGAGTGGGCCGATTTTAGTGTGCATACATATTCTCTCAAGTTCTTCCAAGGTGTTTTGGTGATTTGTGATTCCATTTGAGGCTTCCACACTATTGGGGCTAAGCTCTTAAAGCTTGAAGACATCAAGCTACATCAAAAGGTATGTCATCTAACTAGAACTTTGTAGTATAGGTGCTTCATAATATGCTAGTTAGGATGAAACCTTGGAATAGTTAATATTTGCATGTATAATAGAGAAAACATAGATCCAAGGTTTATAGGGTTGCATGTACACCATAGGAGTGTTAGAATGCTAAAAACCCAACACGGCTAACGACCCTCCACCAGTCAAGGAAGCGATGAGTGAGAGTGGACACCCATTAAACTGCCATTTTATAAGCAGTAACCTTATACCCCCCCCCCTTATAGACCGGCTTCGTGAATGAGGCCTACTAACGGTAAGATTGACTTTATCTTATACATATCTATATAATTAAAATTATAATAATAGTATAAGGGTTGAATTTTAAACTTTTAAAATTCTAGGGTTTGATTTGGAATTAAAGCATTCATAAGGGGTAAACTTTACAAATTCCAAAACTTGAGGGTAAATTTTGAAACAATTCAAAAACTATTCAATTCCATAACTTATGAGTTTAGAGTAGTTTTAATTAAAAACTCTTCAAGTTCCATAATTTGAGGACAAGTTATGGAAGACTTTAAACCATTAAAAGAATGTGACTCTTCCTTATTCATAACTTATGGAAAACTTTATGAGTTTTATGAATCTTAAATGTGACTTTTCACATAATTTGAGGACAAGTTACAAAACACATTTTAGAATCAACTCTTAGATTAATTTGGATTGAAAACACATTTTTCACATAACTTTTTCTATTAATCTAAGCAACTCATAAGAACAAGATAATACAAATCAAATTTTTTCATGTAATTAGCCTAATCCTTAAACTAATACAAAACATGAATCTATTGACAATTATCTTTGAAATTGGATTAGCATGAACATTACCACATCAAAAACAGGTTTATAAGTTGAAAAACAGCTTAGGGTAATGTTCCTAGTCCAATTCCAGCCAAAACAGTCGAAGATATGTTGTCAAGGGGTCCAACTTGTCGAGTGCATGAACCAACTCGACGAGTTGGATCGGTTTTTCCTTGGACTCGTCGAGTCCCTTTATGGACTCGTCGAGTCCCTTTATGGACTCGACGAGTCTGCTGTTCATACAGCAAAAAAACTTCGATTTTTCAGCAATTTTAGCAAGTATAACAAAAAAACAAGCCTAGGCTTTGATACCACTGTTGGGTTTTGAGCATTATAACAGTCCTAAGTGTACATGCAACCCTAAATACCTTGGATCTATGTTTTCTCTATTATACATGCAAATATCAATTTCCAATGTATTATCCTAACTAGCATACATTCATATGTACTAGGATAACAAAACTAGATAGAAGACATACCTTTTGTTGTAGCTTGATTCCATGGAGCTTAAGAGCCTAGTGCCCCAAGTGTGACACCTCAAATGGTTCACACAACACCATCAACATTTGGAATAACCATGAGAAGAAGATATCATAGGCTCAAAATCGGCTAGCCCTCACATAGAATCCTTAGGGCCGATTTCTTGAGCTCATGGGTTCTTTATATAGTGTGCACATTAGGGTTACACCATGTAACCCATGACTTTACCCATTCCTTATGCTCCATGGGTTTTAACCTCCATGGAGTATCCATGGGTCACCACATGGGTTAAACCCAACATAAGGAATCATGGATCATAAGCCCACATATATAAGAATGAATGATTTACACAATCAATCCCCATATATTTGATTAGTCTCTTTCGATCACTAAATTAATTCCAAATTAATTCTTGATCAATACTAATTAAATAATATGATTTCATATTAATATATTAGAACTTATAATATATTAATATGTCACAAATATCCTCTTCTCATAAAAGGTCTACCCAAATGTTCCGATGTCATGCAACCCAAATGGACCATGTCGGGTCGGGTCAAGTATATACCAATTATAGTTATGGACTTAGACACTAATCCAACACCAACGAGATGTTCACCCTCTTTTTTAAAACTATAGGTATTTTGAAACCTATCATGTTTTATACGCCTGTCAAACTGACATGGTCTCCCTAACAGAATGTGGCACGAATCCATAGGAATGATTTCACACCACACATCATATGAATATCTTTTACCAACGGAAAACTGTACTAAAAAAAGCTTACTAACCTTAACAACATTGCCCTTTTTAGCCAAGTAAATTGGTAGGGTTCCGGGTGATCTTCCTCCTTCATCCAGAGTTTTTGCACCACGTGGGTTGAAACCGTATTCTCACAACTTCTACTATCAATGATCATGCTACACACCTTGCTTTTGGCAGTACACTTGGTGCGAAAGATATTGTTCCTTAACCACGAATCATCATCAATGGATTAGGAAACAACAACATTCAGAACTTGTTGGATCACTAACGATTCTCCATGATCAAGTTTAATTACTTCGGATTCCTCGTAGGCAATCTCATCCCCGTCAGTATCGTATTTTGGAACTAATAGGAAAGATTACCTACAAAAGGTTAAAATCCTTGAAATAGCATCATCTATGAACTTTAGGCCTATAGAAGAACAATTTCAAGATGAACAAATCGGCTACCCTTTTTGAAGGGCCAAAGGGTTTTTATTAGAGTTAAATCTCTTCGTTCAAAGTCACCAACTGATGGTTCGGACAGTCGTGAGCAATATGGCCTATGCCTTGACAATTGTGACATTGTGGGGGCGGTTATTGGTATTGCTTAGGAGGCCGGGACATTAGGCGTAGGGGTAGGGGCTTTTAGGACATGAGCAACCTTAGGGCCAGTGGGGGTCGTGGTCTTATTTACAAGGACGAATCGATTGCTCGTTGTACAAGCCTTACTCTTAAGTTGTTTCTCCACTTTTAAGGCATGTTGGCACACATCTGAATATGTCCAACAAGGTTGGAGACTCACCACATCCGAGATCTCGGGTTTCAACACCCCCAAAAATCAAGAAATAACTTGTTCTTCTTCTTATACTACATCACATCGCATCCGAAGCCGATCAAACTCATGGATGACTTCATGTACTGACATGGTTTTCTGGGACATATTATGGGACTCTAAGAAAGCTTCTTGTCGGTGATTTTAAGGCAAAAAGTTGTTCTTCATTAACTTCTTCATCTTTTCCCATGTGACAACCTTTGCTTTTCCTGCAAGTTTACGTTGTTTCTTCACGTGATCCCACCAAAGAGAGGCATGTTTCCTCAATCAGATAGCCACCACTTTCACCTTCAAGGGTTCCAAGATGTCTTGCATATCAAACACCCGCTCAATGGTGCTTAACCATTCAATGAACTCATCAGGATGAGCATGTCCCGTGAATTTGGGAATCTCAACCTTCACACCAACGATATCTTCCTTCGCGAGGATCTCGTTTTGGCCCGGCAAAAAGATTGACCGCCTCTTCACCGTCGCCCTAGACGCTTGAATCTGATTCAGTCTCTTTGTTCGGCGAGTCGTGATGCAACAACTCGAGTTCTTGGATTCGTCGTTGCAAGCATTCAATGTCTATGTCACGTGGATCTCGTAAATCGGCTTCGGCATTCCGTGGAACAGGTCCACCACCGTGACGACCATGAGCTCCTCCACGACCACAAACCATATGTCCAGTCATTCGTTCGTTTGCTCTGATACCAAATGATGCCCAGACGATCGGATTGAATTGAATGGCAAATTACAAATAACATGAACACAAAGAACAAAGATAATTCCAAAGTTGGATTCTTTATTAATTATTAATCGAAAAAAAAGTTCCCAAAATAATGAAAAACGAGATCCTTATAAGGAGGATAAGATGAAAATAAGTTCTTAACCCTAAAAGATCATAATTGGTTATGAAAAAATCCCAAATCATTATCTAAATTCAAACTCAAAATAAAAAGTTGCCGCAAATAAAAAACAAAAAAAAAAGGTTTTGAGACCCTAAACGATCCCGAATGACCGAAAAACGCCACATGTAATGGCGAAGAGATGAGTTTTTTTAATCATCCGTTTTACATGTCGTGTGCGAATTTCGTCCAATTTCAAGTTGTTGAATCATTTCGGCATATTTGATTCTGATATCAACGTACTTCAATTCCTACTTGTACCACGAGCATGAGTTCACTTTTAATTCGGATGTAAGAAAAAGCAACCAAGCAATCTATTAACTCAAATTGTGGTTAGGTTTCTCAATTTCCATATTAAGGGTCTCTATATGATAAAATAATAATGGTGTTTTTTTTTAGCCAACACTTTTGCAAATTGAGTTGAAGTGTCAATTGCAAGATCGATGATGACATCGGACATTAATTTCTTGGTCAATTTCCATTGAAAAGTACAATTTAAATCACAGTTTTTTTCCTTCTGTAAGAAGGAGAGAGGTTGGATTATTTTTCTTACTTTATTCACTTTCTTTCTATAGCAAGAAACCTTCTTATTCTCTCTATCTCATTCCCTTTAATCAATTCTTTCTCTCTATCTCCTATTCCCAATTCCAAACCTTTGTTCTTGTTTGATTCCTTATCTTTTGCCCTTTCACTGTTTTCCCAGGTTAAAGCTATTCAAACTGACACAAAATGGAATCCAAATGATTGATTTTTAGCACAAAACCTTGTGATTTAGTAGGGTTTATGCTTTACCCTTCTTAAAGTTTCATCTTTTCTATATTTTCTTGAAATTCGATTGCTTAATTTTCTCTTTCTTTGTCGTTCTTGAGTCAAATCTGTTGAACTGACAAAAACCCTTTGACAAAATGATTGGTTTTTAGTGGAAATCTTGTCAGATTCAATCTGGGTTGTTGTCTTGATATATTAGGGTTCACACTATACCCCTTGAAAAAGCTTCATCTTTTTCAAATTTTCTTGAAAATTTAAAGTAAAGTTTTAATGGCTGCTGAAGAACTGATTGAAGTCAAGTTCAGGTTACCTGATGGCAGTGATATTCCACCAAGCAAATACAATTCCACAACCACTGTCGCATATCTCAAAGAGAGAATCATTTCACAATGGCCTAAAGGTAATTTCCCTTCATCATCTCTATTACTTTACTTGCTTTCAAGATCTTGTGAAATTGATGGGTTGTTCTATGGGGATTTCTGAGTTGATTACTTAATTTGATTCTCTCGTTAATTGTTTTACATTCTTCGATTGTTTACTATCTTTTTAAACTTCGACAGAAATAGGAAATGGGCCAAAAACAGTAAACGATATGAAGCTCATAAACGCAGGAAAGATTCTGGAGAACAACAAAACGCTTGCTGAATCTCGATCTCCTGTAGGCGAAGTTCCCGGAGGTGTCATCACTATGCATGTTGTTGTTCGTCCTCCATTGTCAGACAAAAACAGCGGTAATTTGATCTTAATATCAAAGGGCAATTATGTCATTTCACTTGTTAACGCCATTGATAACCTCCTGTGTGCAGTGGGAGTTTGAACAGGATTCAAATCCTAAACTTTTGAAGTTATCATTCTCTTGAAAGTTTAAAGATTTTATATCAAATTTGTAGTTTAAAAGTTAATCAGTTTGACTATCGAAAGTCAAACTTCTACTATGATTATGGAACAAGATTTCTGAAATGTTCTTTGTGATTTTGTAACAGAAAAATCGCAAAATGCCCCTGAAAAGAGCAGTTGTTCATGCACAATCCTGTGATCAAGGTGGCAATTTGATCAAGTTTATGCCTTTGATAGATGTTCTTTTTCGCACATTTCAAGATTCAAGATGAAAGCAGATGTGGTTGTATGTTATATATATATATATATATATATATATATATATATATATATATATATATATATATATAGAGAGAGAGAGAGAGAGAGAGAGAGAGAGAGAGAGAGAAACCTTTTAGATCAATTAGAAGAATGTTAAAAGAAATTGTTGTCATATCTTATGAAATTAAAAGCCTATGGCTTTCATGGATGCCTCAGTTTTCCAATAATTCTTGAATGATTGTGTCAATTGAAAAGGGACCAATATTAAATCCTATCTTTTACATCTTTTTGCACCATTTTGCTCTAATCAAACACCCATTATTGCACCATTTTGGTGTAATGAATAGTATAACAACACATGTTATAATATTCATTTAAACTTTTTGGTGTTAAACTTTCCCAAATGGTTTTTCAAGTTTGATTTTATATATTTCTAATTAATTTAATTTTATAATTGTATTAAATATAATAATTTGTACTTGTAATAATGTATTTTAATTGGTTATGATTGGTTAATAATGTAACTTGTAAAATTACCATAACCAAAAATAGATGTTGACAATTTTGTCCAATGTAACAAACAAAACCTAATTGCATCAGAGAAAATAACATAACATTACATAATAAAAGAATAAACTTTACTATACATATAAAAAACTATGAATTACATGGAGATTACAGTCAAAAAAAGGGCATATTCTGAATGTTATAAATAAAACCCATTAACAACCATTGAGAAATTTATACTATTTACACCATCATCATAATCAAGAATTCCAAGATTCATTGATTGTTATTCACAATTCACAAAAGTGCATCATTTTCACTAATTTTTCGATCTTCAATCACATTCACAGCCATTGATGAACGATTGGATCGAAGCAAATTCCTTGAAGATCTGACATTCTTGAGTGTCATCATCAGCTTCTGTCTCTCTCCTTCCACCTCAGCAAGCTGCAAACTTAACTCTGAATATCTTTCATGCATTTCCTTCAATTCATTTTCAACATTCACATACTTCCCTTTAATTTCCAACATATCTTTAATCAATTCATTTATATCCCGAAAACTCTTCAACACTGCCTCCTCATCACTATGTTGTTTAAGGAAAGAACTGTCACAATATCACACCAAATTACCCAAAACCCATGTTAGTTTTTAGTCAAAAACTTTGACTTTTTGACTTTGACTTTGACTTTGACTTTTACCTTTGGAATTGGATGCTTGATTTCTTCTTTGTTCTAAGTGCTTCTGCAAGCTCGATTTCTAAAGCAAGCACCCGTTGTAATGCATTCCCGTTTCCCGGGAATTCGATAAAATTAGGGTATATGCTTCCTAACTCTTCATTGGCCTTAAATAATAAAATAATCATAAGAAAAGAAAAAAGATTTCTTTTTTTTTTTTACATTTTAATGGTAAAATCAAAAATGCATACCTTTTGTAGTTGTGAAAGTTCCTTTTGTAAATCTTGAAATCCCGGATCATAATTAGTCAATGGAAGAATCGAATTATCGTTTTTCATTTTTTCCAACTGAAAATTTTATAGACAAAATGTAAGAAAACTTATATAATGACTTAATGATCAAGAGTTTAATAAAATATACCTCTTCATCTAGTTGTTCCATGCAAGATCTTAAATGTTGAGCTCTGAATTGATCATTAACAACCATTAATTGCTTTGAATCATTCGACAATGAATTCTCTTCATCTTCACCATGAATGCTTCTCTGTTTGATTAATATTCAATAAATAAAAACTAAATTTAACAAAATAAAGTTTTTATGAGTTTTATTTATTAACTTTTTTTTACCTGTTTGGATTCACCATTTACACCCGTATGACCATTTTCGTCTTTTTGGGAAATCTGCTCTTTCATCAAAGAAACTTCAACTGAAATTCTAGACTTTTCCTCTTCACTTTCTTGTAATAAAGCAACAAGCTTTTCTTTTTCTTCTTTGCAACATTCAAGGCTCAAGATAGCACATTCAAGTTCAGCTTGTATCCGATCATGATCAGGTTTATCAGAAATTACAGATTCGACCTCAGCTTCCAATTCTTCAATTCTTTTCAACTGTAAAGCTTCAGACTTCTTCCTGCTCTCAATTTCATCAAGGGCATCTTGTAATTTAAACAACATTTCTTCACCATGTCTTTTGGAAACAGAAAGCTGTTGTTTTAATTCTTGAAGTTTTGCTTGATGTTGTTCTTTTATAAATGCCATTCTTAATGATTCTGTAGGCCCTTCAGGTTCTTTTTTCTCACTTTTTTCTTTCATCTCCTTTAAATATACAGACAAATTCTTGAATTCTTCTGTTTTCAGAATCTGTTCAGAAAGCTTGTGTGTAAGTTCATTACATTTATTCTGAATCATGATCAATTCATCATTCTGTTCATCCAACTTTGCTTTCAAAACCACCAACAGAATCTCAGATTCTTCTCTCATAAAGAACACATCATCTGTAGACTCCACCACCTTTTTATTTTCCAAAAATGTAATCTTTTTCTTGATAGCATCTAACTCTGATCTTAGGGATTCATTTTCTGCAATATAAAAAGCCTCACTTTCAACAATTTGATCCAATCTTTCTTTTGCATCAAGAAGCTCTGTTTCAAGCTCATGCTTCGCTTCCATCAAACTAGCCTCGAGCATTTTCACCTTTATGTTATTTGATTTTGAAATTTCTTCATTATGAGCAATAGATTCCTGCAACTCTAATCTACAAGATTCAAGTTTAGTTGCTAGATTTTTTGTCTCTTTAATGTAATGAGCTTCATTTTCCATACTATTGCTGAATCTTGCTTCTGTATCTTGAAGTTTCATTTGAAGTTCATGAATCTGTCCAATCTCTGACTCAGATTTGACCAACATGTCTTTCAATTGACTTATCTCAAGAGCATGCTCATTATTGGCTTCTGAAATTTCAGCATTTTGAGCAATAGAAGCCTCTAATTCCAATCGAACAGATTCTAGGGTTCTTGACAATTTCTCATTTTCTTTGATATAATGAGCTTCATTTTCCAAACAATTGTTCAATCTTGCCTCTGTATCATGAAGTTTCATTTGAAGTTCCCCGATTTCCACCTCAGATTTGACCAAATTGTCTTTCAGTTGACTTATCTCAAGAACATGATCCTTATTAGCTTCTGAAACTCCTGCATTTTGAAGAATTGAAGCCTCCAATTTCAATCTACAAGATTCAAGATCTTTTTCCAAATTGTTGTTCTCTTTGATGTAACTAGCTTCATTTTCCAAACATTCATTCAATCTTGCCTCTGTATCATGAAGCTTGATTTGAAGTTCACGATTCTGTTCGATTTCCACCTCAGATTTGACCAGAATGCCCTTCAGTTGACCTATCTCAAGAGCATACTTGTTATTGGCTTCTGAGATTTCAGCATTGTGAGCAATTGAATCCTTCAATTCCAAATGAAGAGATTCAAGAGTTGTTGACAACTTCTCGTTTTCTGTGATATAAGAAGCTTCACTTTCAACAACTTCATTCAATCTTGCTTCCATTTCATGAAGCTTCACTTGAAGTTGTTTCAATTGCTCATTATTTACCTCCATTAGACTAATCTCAAGCATTCTTTTTGATTCTGAAATTTCATTATTGTTAGCAATAGAAGCCTTAAGTTCCAATCTAAGAGACTTAAGGGTTCTTGACAACAACTCATTTTCTTCAACATGTTCATTCAATCTTGCTTCTGCATCATGAAGTTTCACTTGAAGTTCCTTCAATTGCTCAACCTCTTTCTCAAGAATTCCAACTTTATCCTCCCATTGTTTGATTGAATTGTTTGATTCCAATCTAAGAGATTCAATTGTTGTCAACAACTTTTCGTTTTCTTTGATATATCGAGCTTCACTTGTGATCAAATCATTCAACTTTGCCTCTTCATCAAGATTCTTTTTGACAAGCTCCTCGATCTTACTTTCATATTGAGATTTAACAAAAGTAAGTTTTAGATCTTCACATATCATGCTTTTATGCATCTGAGTTTCATGTTGTTCAAGAAGTTGAACAACTCTTGAGTTTTCTGATTCTTGATCTGATGAAAGTTTCCTAACATGGTCAACCTCTGATCTTTGACTTTCAAGTTCCAAGGTCAGACATGAAACAATACCCTCTAGTTTCCCTTTTATGTCCTTTTCAACCCCCAATTCATCATTCACAAATCTCAAGCTTTCTTTCATCCTATTAATCTCCAAAACAAAATCTTGATTTTCTTGCTTCAACTCAGAAAGAATCAACTTACTCTTTTCAAATTCTTCAACTATTGCTTCCAATCCTTTGACTTGGTCAACAAAGTTTCTATCTTCTGATGACATTCTTTCCACCTCAAGTTCCAAAGACAAGAGGTACTTTAAAATCACTTCACTGTTCTCCAAATGTCTTTCACCTGATTCCAAACTGTTTTTCAATTTGTTTGAAACCGATTCCAGTTGGAATTGAACCTTTTCCAAAGATTCATTCGGGTTGCCTAATTTCATCACCATTTCATGCAAACCATTCTTGAATCTCCTCTTCACATCATCAACTTCTGATCTTGCCATATCTTTTTCCTTCTCAAGATTATGAACTTGAGATCTGAAAGCTTCTAATTCTTCCTTCACGGATGACAAATCTTTTTGAAGCTTCTGATTATCAAAAACTTGTACTTTTAAAAGACTTTCAACCTCAAGTTTTTCAGCAGAAACAACTTCATGTTTGCTTTTATAAACTCTATACTCCATAACCAACGCTTCACATTCAGTAATCTTTTCCATGAGCAAAAAGTTTTCCCTTGAAACATTTCCTAAATCCGTTTCCAACATTTGATTTTGCAATTGCAAATCATTACACTTTGAAAGATAATACGCATTCTGTGCATTCACAGCATGAACATCTTCAATGGCAGTTTGCAATCTCATGAACAAAACATCCCTTGATTCATTCGAAACCTCCAACTCATGTCCCAATTCTTGTAATTTCTCTTTTGTTTTTCTTATATGACAAACTGCTTCCATTAATGTTTCCGAAAGTGCCCCTGAGTACATATCTAAGTACAAATTTGTAGAGCACATTTCACCAAGCTCTTCTTCCACTTTCTTGTATATATTTTCTTGCAAGCTTAAAGATTTTTTCAGGTCACCGGAAAGCACATCACCACCACCTGAAAGATTCTTACTCCGGTGATCATCATCAACTAAATCTTCATGCCCTTGAGATGAATCTGAGAAAGCTTCTTTAATCACAGTCTGATTGGTTTCAAACATGGACAAAACTTGAAAAGACAACATGTCAAGATCTTTTTGGAGTTGACTCACTGCAATTGAGTAATTCAATCGAGCCCTTTTCAGAGCTGATTCTGAAGTTGTAGCTCTTTTTTGTAACTCCTTATTAATGGAACTCAATTCACGTCTTTCTTCATCAAATCTTAACATCTGATCATTGATAGAGTAAGCACATGTTGAGTGTTCGTTTTTTAGGCTTTGAAACTCTCCAAGAATCTTTTTTTGGTTTTCTTCAAGATCTTGCACAAGTGCTTCATAGTAACACTCCATTTGTTCCATCTTTCTAACAAGACTTTCACTTTCAGCTTTTGCTATCTTCAACTCGTTTAAAAGTTCCAAATTTTGCCCTTCTGTTGAGTCAATTGTTGATGTAGACCCCAGTTCTTGAAGGGGTAGAATTGGTATTTTCTCTAATTTCATTTCTTTCAACTGTTGTAGATCGTTTTTGAACCTTGAACATTCTGATTTAAGATCTGTAACCTCTTTCATTAATTCTTGACTTGAAGCAACTTCAATAGCTAGTTCTTGTTGCAAATTTTGTGTTTCTTTACACATTTCATTTGCATGATTCTGTAAAGTGTTTACTTCCATTTTGAGCTCGGAAATCGATGACTCAGCAACCTCCAAGCTACCTCTGAGCCTTTGATTCTCTTCATAAGCAATTGCCAATTCATCAGATCCGTTTCTTTTTTCTGACTTAGTAACCCTGTTCTTGATGCTATCAACTTCATGAGTGATTGATGGATCATACTTGTAGTTTTCTGATGTGTTTGATGAGTCATCACATGTAACTTGAGAATCTGAATATTCTTCATGTATTCCTGTTTCATTTACAAGGTCTTTAGAATGTGGTCTCACTTGTCTTTGTGTCTTTACCTATTGAAAGCAAAAGGAAATGATTCAGGGAACATGAAGGATTGTAGGAGTAACAATCAAGGGTAAAATTGTAAAAAGTAAAAGTATATTATGCTGATCTAAACTCTAACCTTGTTAAGTTGATCATCAAGTATCAGTGAATCTGAAGATGGTGATTTGGCAGCACTTGATTCGCTCTCTCTTTGCAGCCCTTTATCCCTTTGCTGCTCAAATTCTCTGCATTAAAGTAACAAATCATTTAATAATTAATACCAATAATAAGTACTTATTAGTAAAGAAATCTAAATCTAATCTTGCATTTCATCTTTTCAAAAAGTTATACCTGAAACCAGTTTTAGCTGTTAGTAGCTGAACTGTAACCTGAAACCAAAAGATTTATGTCAATTGTGAAATGATAAACAAGATTTTATCTGAACTCTGAAGAAGTTGTTGATTCAAGATTCAAGAAAAGTGAATTGTGAATTCAATAGTGTATAAGAATTTAGGGTTTCTTACATGCAAAATGGTTCCAAGATCAGATCCATGAAGTGGGAGATTGATAACAGATGGTTGTGATGCATCAGCATAATCAGCAAGGTTGATTGTAGCCTCACCCAAGATGCTAGATCTTGAAGTACCCTGAAATTAATTATATGTAATATTCAATAATCAAAAATCAATTATTCTTGCAATTATACAAAAGCAAAAAAAGGAAACCTACCATTCCCACAACAAGTTTGTAGAGCTTATCATCATATTGTTTGCTCTTAGAATCGATTAAAAGCCTTGTAGTTTCATAAATAGGATCTGCCCATTTGCAACTCCCATTTTTTACATTTGCTTTGCTTGTTTTTGCAATTGCTTTTCCAGTTTCAGTAGGAATAAAAGATATAAATAGCTTCTCCCATCCACTTTGTGGAATCTAAAACATAACCATTAACATTTTAAGTGAAAAGGGTCAATTATATATTGAAGAAATTGGATTAAAAATGGAAATGAATAAAACTTACTTGTGTAGCATGAAATTGGAGCCGAAAAACAACTTTGACTTTAGCCTTCTCAACTTTCCATTTGGTAACTCTTGACATTATTTGATAATCAATGTATCAAGACCTATAATAATAATAATAATTTAGGGATTCAAGAATCAAATGGAAAACTTGTATAGGAATCTAGAAATTTGTGTGCTTTAGAAGTTATACTTTTCACATTAGTGGTGGTACCTTAGGAAGGGACCCATGGACCATGGTGGTTTTCAATGTCATGGAGTTATAAAACGAAAAGGTAATTAATAATAAAGGTGAAAAGATCTTAAAGATGATTAATCATGTTCTGATGCTCAAACATGTCTTAGGCTAAATTGATGTCCAAAAAGAAAAAGTAAAATGTTACAAAAAGCAGTAAGTACGTAATGTGGTAAAACCCTGATTGAGATTCGGCTTTTGAATCTACTTTCGATTAAACTCGATTCTACTATGAGAAAACAAAAAATTCCCCCGGTAGGTCAAGATTTGTGATGCATAAAACCCAGATCTTTGAATAATTCAACAATTGCAGACAACCCACATTGACTTTCTTCGTGATCCGACAAAAAATGAGCTGAAAACCAGAGTGTATGCTTACCTTCTTCAAGTTAATGATGAAATCGAGTCTGATCCGGAAACCCCAAGTAGTATGAACACGAACTGAATCGAGCAAAAGGGAATAGAAAAAGAGTATTTAAAAAAATCAAAAGGAAGAAATCAAAAATGCCCCAACATGTGCATTCAAAGTAGAAGATATTCAAAGGGGGAAACCCCTTTTTCATGGAACAGTTACAGGAAATGTAGAAAATGGGAAGAACAGTGTGAAACCCACTTCCGTAATTTAATGAGAAATAAGTAAAAAACAAAACATCATGTCGTCTTCATGGTTTAAACATTTACATCAAATTTAGAAACCCACTTCTGGAAATTACTGAAAAGTACCAAAAATTGAAAGAAAGAGAACACTAGAGATGAAACATCACAGTCGATGTATACTTACAGAAATCAAAGAAGGTATTGAATAGATAGATATGAGCATTATGTTACCTAACAATGCGGGATCTGAGATGTGGAACTTGCAATGGAAGCAAAATTAGGGAATCTGACAAAGATAGTGCGATGGGAAGCGTGAAAAACCAGTAAAATTCAAATGGGTATTTGATTTTTTGAATCAATTCGCAATCAAAATGAGGAAAAAGATGTCAAACATCACAGGCAAAGAGAGAGAAAGAGAGAGAGGGCGTTACACTGTTCAAAAGGTTGAAACTTGAAATTATAACTTTATTTTTATATAAAGTGAAAAATAAAAACAATTGGCATCCCGCCAAAGCTTGTGATTGTTCCGAATTAATTACTCAACCATGTTCTTGTGGTTTACTTGTGTTTGTGTTCATGTTTTTGTTAGATGAAATTTCTTTTTTCTTTTTTTTTCATAACAAAAAAGATCTATTGAAGTAAAGATACCATATTTGCTCATATTTCTTGTGATCACGTGATTTAAAGAGATTTCTTTTCTTTTAGATTGCAAATCCATTTCTTTACCGGAAATCTAGAAAAGTAACTCAATTTTAAAAATAAGGTTGCTAAAAATAAGATTTTGATAATCATCAAATTAACTTTCATAAATCAGTGGATAGAAAATATCTAATATTGTGAATTTGTAATAAATCTACCTATCTATTGATTAACGTTTGCATTGATCCCTAGTCGTACTTCTCTACCCCTCTTCGAGTCGGTCTCCCTTTCTCTCTTTGTCTTTCCCTCCTTCGACTTTCATGACCTGAAACAAAGACAACCTTCCTTCCCTAGAAAAATCATATGGCATTACCAACATAAAAAGCTTATGCATGTATTGTTCTTGATCTTGATCATCTCAAATACAATGCTTGGTGTCAAGTATTTGAAACTCACTATATCAGATTTGGTTTGTTTAATCGCATTGACGCCTCATGTGATGACCCTAACGCGAATTGTGAGAACCCAGATGGAAGAAGATCGATTCTATTATTAAGCTTTGATCTACATGATAATTTCCTAATCCCTGCTCCAAATGATCCTCAAACATAATGTGATCGCCCGTGAAGTTTTGGATCAACATGGAAACGTTGTTTTGTGACAACAAAGATGGGAAATCATTCAAATCGACAATGAACTCTACTAACATTGGTGATTCCTCCATCACTACTTATTGTATCGACATCAAGACGATCATAGACCTCATCGATAACATTGATGCAATAGTACCCAAGAAAAACATCATCGCCTACATGAGTATCGGGTTATCATCTAAATATGACTACATTACAAGCTATATCCGATATCGCACCCTAATCCCAACCTTTTTGGAAGCACGTTTCATGCTTATTCGTGAAGAACAACAAATAGGTATATTTGGATCCAACATCCTTAAGAACCCTTGTCATTTCATACGTTCTTAATACATAGACTTCTAGTTGTGGCCAACGCCATGGCACTTGAGTCTCAAATCATGGAAACCCAACAAACGCTACCTCCTTGGACTTGATTGCCCTCCGAATCATCTAATCTAGTCATGACACTTCCACAATTTCTAATACCATGCCACTTGATGATTATGGAGATAATATGTGGTACATGGACATTAGGGCTATCTCTTACCTTCATGAAAATCCATATATTCTCAAGTCTCTTAGTGATACTTATACTATTAATTTTTTCTTAGTTGGGAACAAGTCCTCAATACATGTTATTGTTAGGTTGTGATGATTTTACACACACGTAGCAACGGAAGCAAAAACATAAACATAACTCTTCATCATCATAATTCACCATTGGATCTTGTTCTATAAAACTTTTAGCAACAACATAAGGGTCAAATATACATTTCTTGTGGAGAGTATGAACTGATTCCTTCATTCTCTTGGATGAGTTAGACCCCAAATAAGAACCCCTTTAATGTAGTCGTACCAAATATGAATAATCCAAGCAATAAGACAACACCTTACATCATTTAATATTTGCCAAAAAAATCGAGAAACCTTAAGAGACAAGGGTTGCTGAAAGCTCACAAAACCGAGAGGGAGAGAGGAGAGTTTAAGAGATATAATCTTTATAGGAGAGTGGAGTTGGTTTCTTATAATGATCGGTCTCCTCCTTCTTAGGTGTTTATCCTCTTGTTTTGTATTATAAGATATAACTATCTCTTTAGATAAGAGATAATGACTAACATTCAAATCAAGGATATTTACACTAAACCCCTTTAGCTTAATTAGTTCCAAATTAACTCACCATAACTTTGGTGTGTTAACAAACTAATCTCTTATCTTTCTATTTTGTCATTTTATGCTTAAATCACATCTTGTGTGTAACCAAAAAGGACTCTGCTAATTATAGAAAGTCACTAACTTGTTGTGACAATAGGCATATCTCCAACAGTCTCCCATTTGCACATGTCATAACAACTATATAGTTATACCTTCCTTAGCCTAGCAAGGTGTACATCATCCAAGACTACAAATGTACTCATAACCTGTAAGTATTAACAATCCTTAGTAAGTAATTAAATATTCCTTTGTACTTAAGATATCCAAATGAACATAAGACATTAAAGTATGACAATCAAATATTCAAGATTATGTTTCCCAATAGAGATTTGTGATGACCAAAAACGGACTACAATACTGATTTATTATCAACTTAGTGTAGTTGCAATGAAATCGAGAATGAATTACGAAATCAGAGTAAAGTATGAATGATGAACACAAGATCTAAATAATATTTGTTTGGCTCAATAAGCTTTCAATAAGTACAGAGTGTTTTAGACAATTACAGCAAAAGTTCTTATCCAACTCTAGTACATCTCCCTATTTATAGGAAGCATGAAAGCGAACAAAAAATACAAGGGACTAGACACAGTAAGTTTCGAAACATAACATGCCCTTGTAATAAAGTTACAAACTATCGAAACTAATAATGACATTCGACACCTCACAACTAAATTCGACATCTACATTCTCCCCCTTTGTGAGCAGTGACGAATTGGGGCATTAAAATATCCGCAGCTTGATGGATAACCCTTCGGATCTCAGCATACCAATTGACAATCTTCTGAATCTCAGCTTTCTCCTTTTCATTATTCTTGGCACAACTATTCATCCGGACCATGAGATTTGTGTAATGAGGTGTTGTATACCTTTCGACATCACGCACTTGAAACAGGAATTTGGAGTTATTTCCCTTCTTGTTTTTACTAACAAAAACAATTCCTAGTGGTTTCAAGGTAATTTCACCATCTTCGGAATTTCTCAAACTAGCCTTACTCAAAAGCATAGTTTGTGGAACTGCAATCTATTTGTCCAAAGACTTAGCCAGTTCAACATCAGTTAAGGGTAAAGTTCCATAATATCCATCAATAAAAATCTTCAAGTGAGCAAAACCATTCAGAAAACCTTCTTTACTTGTCGCTTGTAGTTTCGATACATCCACATTCTTCATGATCATTGCCACTACTAAAAAATCATGTAAATTCATCAAAGGAAAATCTGCAACCGAGAAGTCGAATGTTATGTTGTTTGCTCGGACTGCATGATATCGATAATTCTGTAACATACCCTCGAATAAAACATCTTTGGATATGCCAAGAACTCGAACTATCTTGACTAATGACCATACTTCCTCCTCCTTCTTTCCAAGTACAGCATGAAAACGAAACTTCAAGCGTTTGTATTCAACTTTATCCTTGTACTTGTCTGCAAGTTCGAACTGTTCATCTAAGAACATCATTCTATTCACTGGAAAGTCTAACTGATTCATGTTAGTGCTCACAGTGTCAAAACTTTTCTTTAGAATCTTCTCAAAATCATGCATCTCCCCTGAAACAGCCAAAGCTTCGAGATACTCGTAATGATAAAGCTTTGTAGGATCTCCTTTGTTAAGACCAGGAGGGTCATTTGCACGTTGTCGAAGAATACTTTGAACATGTTTCCGTTTCTCCATTTCTGCTTCATAAGCAACTTTCTTTTCTTCTTTCGAAGGCTCAACTATAACACCTTTCCCTTTGCCTTTATCTACTTCAGTCGGCTTGGGTTTCGAAGATCCTGTTTCTCCACCAGCAGATCCAATGACTATACCCTTTGTAATTGGCCTTGTTATTGTTGTTGATGATGTAACAGTCGAAGTTTTTCGTAAGGATGTTGGAATTGAAGTAGTTAACACTTTTCCAACCACCTTTCCATCTTCATCGTTTTTCCCGGAACCACTTCCTCATGTACCAACTTTTGTACCAATGCCAACACCACCCTTTTCTCCCCCTTGCACCCCTGTGACAACAGGCGGGGCATTCGTTGACATGAAATTGGCAAACTTCGCAAGTGGAGCCAATTCGTCGTGAATTGTTGAATCTAACAAGCAAAATTTTTCATTGAAAAATTCAGGAGAAATGGACGAAGACTTCGAAGACTCAGACTTTGACATGAGATCCTTCAATTCGCCCAACAACTTGTCAACATTTTCAAATCCCTTAGCTTCTTCTTCGACCAGTTTATCAACCTTCGGAACTAGAGTTGTATACCATTCCACAACTTTTGTTACCGCATCAGGAAGTATATCTACCTTATTGTGAAGAGTAGAATAATTGTGATCCAAGGCTGCAACCTCTTTCGCCATATCATCTCTTAACTCTCGAAGCTTTAAATTGACATTCTCACGAACCGTCTTGACTTCTTGAACATAAAGAACATGTCTTTGCTTTGCAACCACCTTCAATTCTTTAAGTTAACCGTTGAATGAATCAGATTGAGCTTTAAACCTTGACTCAATATCCCTATTCATCTGATCGAGTTTCTGCTGAATCTGATGCTCCTGAGCATTCAACATCACATCTACTTCAATGCCTGACACCGACTGATTACCCCCTGCATTTGCTTGGAATTGGAGTAATGAATTGAGCTTTTTGTTCAGGATCTTAAACTGTTTGCCTAACATTAACATGTGATCTGGGATATTTTCTTCCTCATAATCAAACTCAATTGCAGCAAATGACCCCATAAACTCACCATCATCTGTTTCATCATCCTGAACGTTTTTTGGTGTTTCGGTGGATTGAGATGGGAATAAAGAAATAATGGGTTGTTGCATAATGGTTTCGAAAGTAGGGGAATGTGTGGTTGTAGGTAATGTGGTAGGAGTAGGAATATGAAATGGAGGTAAAGAGACTGTAGGATCAACACTAGAAGTTTCGAAAGTATAGGAGACAATAATAGAAGAATTACCTTGGGCTTCATTAGTCGATACTCCATCACCCTTGTTGACATTTGCATCCGTATCATATATGTTTGCAGTGATGCCTGAAGTTCGAACCTTCTTATGAAATGATTCGATTGTCGAG